GATGTTAAATTACGAATTTTCTGCAAAACAATGTGCGATTAAGTGGAAGAATATTAAGCAGTACTCCAAAAAAAATTTTTAAATTCCATTTTCATAATTTATCTTCATGTGTATTGTACTGCGCAACTTTCAGAAATTGTCGTGATTCGTTCCAGATTATTATAAATATATTTTGTAATTTCGTTCAATCTGTAATATAATACAATTAGAATTTAAGGTTTGATCTTAATAAAGTTTGTTTGATTTTATGGATTTAAAATGTTAAATCAAAAGATGTTCATCAGTGATGCTAGCCAGAAATTACAAAACGGGTCGGTAATTTAGGCCAATAGACATCTGATCGGAAAAGATTACACTAAGTATTTTATGTCACCTGATAATTTTTTTAATGTAAGATCGTCCCATTGGTTAAAAATTGTTCAACTTTTAAGATATTTAATTTCTTTTAATATAAGTGTACAGTATTTTCAAATATTGAACCATTTATGTGGCGGACGCATGCTCGAGAATCTAGATTCAATAATGGAGTTGAAATCACTTGGCTAAAAATTTGAAACAACTTATTTTTGTCAATATTCTAGAAAAATTCGTTCAGTCCATTTGAAAACGATGGAGTCGATTCTGTTAAAGTTGATTCAACGGTTGGTAACAAGCTTGTGTAAAATTCTATAATTTACAAACTAGCCTTCAAGTTCATTTGAAATTTATGGTAGGAAATTTCTATGTATTTTGCAACAGGTATGAACTCTATTCATGTAATAATGATTATATTGTGATAACTTTTATTGCAATTATTGAAATAGTAATTCTCAGAAGGAACCGCAAACCTGTCGTCACCAACTTGGTATTATTGAATAATTTAATGATATCATTAGGGTGAATCCAAATATCGAGTTGATAATTTAATAATTAAATTCGAATATATTACAAACATTTACGTCGTTACATCAATTTGAATTAATGATTCTAAAAAAAAAAAAAAATGCCAAATAATGAATGCAATTTGTATAAGAAAGTTTATGTTAGAAAATAATTTGGAATACAGAGCAGACTAGCCGTCGATTATCGTATATTTGTAAAAAATTAAATCTTCAACCGATATAATAGTCTTTATTTCAATAAAAAGCGTCACTTTATTAAAGGACAAATACATTTTTAGGTTAAAGTAAAATACTATTTCTTGTATTTAACTAATTATTTCTATGAGTGACGATTCCAACATGTTGGAATCGTCACGCAGAGAAGAATCGGAATCAGTGTCGGTTTTATGGTAAGCTAATCTGCTTAATAAGTTTCTAAGGTCAAAAATTTCATTAAGATTTGTAATGTTGATCGCTGAATTACGCAATATTAATTAGCTTTCAAATTTTTGTAGGATATTCGTAATACGAAATCATGTTTACTAGCATCTGTGGTTAATGAATTATAAAGTTTTTAAAGCTAACATTGAGGTGGTACAATACTTTCGGAAGTCACTTATGTTGCAATGTTTACTTTTAAAGGTCTGCATAAGAACTCTATCCCGGCCCGTTACAGGCCTCTACTTCTTTATTTTATTTTATTTTATTTGATAATATAATTTAACAATCTTTGAATCAAAAAAATTACTAAATATGTTCACTAGTTCTATATTAAATTTTATCATAAAATTCTGGTCGCTTTAATGAAGCGAATCGTACCGCGGTAAAATCTGCATATTCTACTGGTTCTATAAGTCCAGAACAATTCGATTTTCGTACTGAACAAACGATTCGTATCGTACCAATTTGTAAATTTACCCTGGAATTATGTATTGGTAAATGATATTTATGCTATCAGCATAATGTTTATATACATGGCATGATTCCACTTGTTGCTGAAAATGCAAGGAAGCTTTGAAGACTAACGATGAAAGAAATTCAAGTTTTGAACGATTCAACGAAGAATGAAGAATGGTGTAAGAAATGATGATACCTATCAAAAATTATGGCAAAATAAGTTATAATCGAATATAACCAACCTGGAAAATATCACAACGTTCTAAATAGTTTTACTGCGTAACCAAAGTTATTAATATAGAAATATATTTGACTATTATAATTGACGCTATTGTTTTTTTACTACCAGGGTCATTTTGTTGAAGTTTATGATTTCGCTTGTACTTTTGAATCGAATCGATTACGGTAAAGTTTTGTCGAGGTAGTATTTGATTTGGTCCATTAATATAAGTTGTACAAAATTGCACACAGAAATACCATGAGTTGAAATCTCGCGAAGTGCTTAATTATTTGCTTTGTAAAAACCTTCATGATTATAATTTCTAATTTTTCATTTTGATTTTCACAAATTTATCTAGTGAATTCAAAATTACTTGTTTCGTTAAAATAATAGTATTAATAATAAATTTTATAATACCGAATAAAATTATTTTTGACTTTATAATTTTTTTTTTTTTTTTTTTTTTTTTTAAAAAAAAAAAAATCGAAATAATTATATATTTAAAAGGGGTTTAACCAAAATTCGGCGTCGTATTTCCTTTAAGCCGTTTAAAGGAAATAATATATATTCAAATTTCTTAATTTTTAATTATATTTTTCAAAACTTTGGAAGGAAAGTCGAGGGTATTTATTTATTTATTTATTTATTTATTTATTTATTTATTTTTTTGAAACCCAAAATTAATTACTACGGCGATAAATAGTCGTACATAACGATATGATATGCACGCCGGAATTCCGGAGTATTTTTATTCTTTTAGGAATTCTTAATAAGTAAGTTTTTTCCATAGAGAATCAATAATTATCTCACTTTCAGCTTTATTCATTTTATTGCTGCACTGTAGCTGCCGAACAAATTTTTTTAAGAAAATACTTACTTTCATTATCGGCCGATTGACATTCGATACTGCGCTTTTCCTGCCTATCTGTTTGACTCATTATATTTGTAATATATGTAATGTTACATCATTTCTTTGGTTACAACGTTGATCATGTTTCACAAAATCGTTGTACTCTAGAATAATTCTTTCGGAATTTCTAGAGCGGAAATAAGTTTACCATCTTTATTAATTATTTATTTTAAATTATATTATAAGTGATATTAATTAAAAAATATATAAATTTTCATTAACTCAACATTAATGATTAATAATTTTATTAATAATTTATATTATATTTTTTGCTATATTATAAATTCTTTATTTAAAAAAAGAATAATAAAACTTAGATAATAAAATATGAATTTTAAATTTAAATGAATAAATTATTATACTTTTTAAATGATGTACGAATTTCGGATAATTAATTTTTAAGTTTATTTAGATGTTATCATTTGATCATTCATAATAGAGTATATGGAAAACCGGTACCGTACCGGTCTGGCGAATCGTACCGTACCGGTTTTCCATATACTCTTCATAATATCTGATCATTTTAAATATCATATTACGCGCTTCCTAGCAATTTGTTGATGTTTATGAACTGAAATAAAATAAATTTCGAAAATAAAAAATAAATCAGAGTTGACGCCAAATATATATTTTAGTCTTTATCAAATGGAGCCAAGCTTGTATTATCCAAGACCTTTTTGAGAACGCTTAATTGAACAAGGAACACCAAACAATTATCGAGGTAAACTTTTAAAATTATTTATCTCAAAATTGTTCTGATTATTAAATCTAATAAAATGATTTGAATCTGTACTTGTTTTGATTTAAATATTAGTTCATTATTAGAACTTTACGATCGTTATATTATTATCATTTTTAATCTGAAAATAAATGACTTCATAAACTTAATATATTAGGATATCGCTGCTGTAAAATGAAGGGGCCCATTTTAAAGAATCTTCGAAAAAAATTTTAAATTCAGGGAATAATTAAATTTTTCTTTTTCTGTTTTTTTTGGGGGGGAAAAAAATATAAAAAAAAAAAAGAAAAGAAAAAAGTGATCGTACATTGAATTTTATTATATATATATTTTTTTTGTAAGATAATACGTAAATATGTAGACAATAAGCGTACACAATCATAAAAATCTAAAATAAAAAATTTTATGCTTTGGGTCAAATAAAATTTTGTTATAAGTCATCTTTTTTTTAACTTTACAACTTATCTTCTTTGATCTTCATTTTATTATCTTTCCTTACCTTCATTTTTTTAACTTTAACATTTCTTTCTCCTCTTATATTCTGATAATAATGAATAACGTTAAGATTCTTGAGGATGCAATATCGAAATTAGAGGAACTCGTCCCTGAGGGAGGAAATCATGATATGATTTAATAATAGGTTTTCTTCTACATATAAAGGATGCAAGTTGCCTTAATTATTTTAAAGGAAGTGATAAAGAAATATGAGCTCAAGATGATTATATGTATACCGAAACTATTATAGGTTAGTTCAACTGCATACAAAAAAAAAATATCATTTTTTATTCATTTTTGTTGATGATAGCAATTATACGTTTTGTCGTAGAGATATTTGCAACAGCCAAAGTTTAATTATCTGAACCGGATATTATACCGTAACTTCACGGGTAATCGCCGATTACATGTTTCTGCATTAACGGATTGATGAAGTTTGGCGATGGAACGACACAATTTTTATTCATAATTGATTATTTTACAAAATTATACAAATAATGTTACATAAAACATAAAATAAGAATATCCATTAAATGGTAAATATTTAGAAAGATTTTGACTATACTTTTTGATAAAATTATCGTTATATGATTTGTTTGCTATTAAATCACGTTACAGGTCATATGATTAAGTTTGTAATTTGATTACCTCCAATATGATTATAATCGTGTAATGTGCTAAAGCAACAATTACAAAGATTCTTTGAAACAAGTAAAGTATTTGAAGAAATGCTGGTAATCATAATTTGCATTAGTATTATTTTTTTGCTTAAATCAATTTAGAGAGCTTTGTCCGATGGTAAAATACCAAGTTTTGACAGTTTTGCACGCATAGATTATACAAACCAAATACGCGCAATAAAATATTGAGTGTCCTATCCAAAATTACTCAACTGATTTAGTCTCTCAAGTAAATTATTAAGTAATTTGGATTAAAAAAGATGGTTTAATGTTGAATACAGAGGCGTCAGTAAATAGGTGAAATTCTAAATTATTGTTAATTTAGTTCCTAATCTTTTTGAGCAAATGACTGTGATCAGTCAGTCAATTATTTAACCGATTAAGTAGTGGACATTAACTCGGCCGAAATTCAACTTTCGGCCAGAATTAAAATGTTTCTTATTGCAGAAATATTTGCTAACATTATAAAAATTATAATAAAAATCCACTTAATAAAACTTTTCGAATTTTATAAAGTTGTTTTATTTAAAAATAATTGCGTTACAAGAAGAAATTTTAAAATACAAAATTACACCGGTTGTTTCCAACACGTGACACCTATTTGTAGGACGCTCTTCTTTTTTTTTTATTATTATATTGGATTTGATATACTTTTAGTAGCAGAACAAAATTACTGCGCCTTCACCACAATAAATTCAATATTACCTAATTTTTTTTTTACTATTCAAAAACAAAAAAAAAATCATCGGTGCCTGGAGGTGAGGTATCCCTATATGGTTACGTTTCGATTTCGTTATTTGGATACGGTACCATAAAATTTTTGCAGGTACGAATATTTTTTACTAATCATGCCTTATCTATAACCCTGTATGTATATATACATACTATCGATATTGCGCGCATGGTACGACCCCATTTATTTAAAGGACGTACCTACAACTTTAGTACGTACCTGCAACTTTTACAAAATTTTTTTTCATTAATTCTTTATTCTTGTAGATTTTTATGATGTTATGCCGTATATATAATCTAAATTTATATTACCTCACAAGTTTTTTTCTCGTTAACAAATAAAGAAAGGTTACGTTCAATAAATTTCGTCATGTCCCAGATTTTTCAATGTTGTAGTACAAACATATTTAATTTTAGCGATCGATCATATATTATATTTTTTTAATTTGATAAATATCTTATATTTATTATTCAATAATTAATTGTATTATCTAATACATATCGATATGATATGCAAATTATTTTATTAGAAATATTTTATTAAAACAACAAATATTGCTATCTAGAAAATGAATTAGACGCGCTAAAAAAAAAAAATAATTTAAGCAAATATATTTAACTAGTTTAAAACGTACCCAAAAAATATAGAGTTAATGATCGCCGTTAATAATTCGCTATATTGGTATGTATCTATATAATTGATCGTACCTATAAATAATTTATCGTACCTTACCTTTTATATAATATCGTATTGTAATTAAATACTATATACTCATTTTTTTTTGAGTTTTAATCATCTATCATTAATACTTATAAATCTATTGGTGATCATCATTATATTTCTGAAAAATTTGAAGGATAATTATATAATAATCAGGTAATCAGATACTTATGACCGCTAAATTAATTTTGTAAGAAATTTCTCAAATGAAAATTTCAATGCCGCTAACACGGGACTATCATATGACTATATGGTTTGCATTTTTATCGGAATTTCTACATGATTACTTCGTGTCAACTATATGGACGCGATGAATTTTCTTTTGTAATTTTAAATTTTATATTAAACTTAATTTTTTTAGCTATCGATTTTTTTATAGATTCTTCTTTTATTATCGTTTTAATTTTTTTTTATAATATAATAAATGTTTTTTTTTAAGTTATGTAATTTTTTTTTGTATTTTTTTTTTTTTTTTTTGTGTTTTTTTGTAATTTTTTATCGTGTTTCTTTCTTCATTTGTATCTTCAGTTTTTTGCATCTTCGATTTTT